ATCTGATTCGATCCGTTTTTCAGAATTTAGCTCCGTTTTGATGTAATTTCTGTTGATATGGATTCGATGAAATATTGGAAGATGATTTCAAGATCAAAGACGTTCGAATGGAATTTATATGGTCGATTAGTATGGCATGAAAATCGAGGTAATACTCTACTACCTCTTTATGCTTTATAGAACATGTGAATATTGGTAAATGTATGAATAAGATAATGTTGGTCTCATTTGTGTAGTTAATGAATTTTTACACTCGATCCAAAAACAGTAGAAATTTGGCAACCGATTATGGTTTAGATGATTAATATAGGAGATTGAGAGATTGTTAGAATTAAATTACAAGTTTTGTGATTAGTGATAAAGGAATCAACCTTGGATCTGTAACTTATATGTTATATCAACAAAGGTTAAATATTAAAGGTACTCGGATGAGAAATTATGTGAATACTCTGGTTGGGTAAAATTATGAAAATACCCTTATATTGTAAGATGACAAGAATTATCCCTGGAAGTTGGTTAATAACTCTGAAAAGACATATTGATTCGGTAAAATTATTGATATGCATAAGAAATGTTAGTTTTTCTTAAGAAATGCGGATAACCGGTTTTTAACCCCAAGATGGTTTGAGCAAGATGCTAGAAGTCTGTTAAGTAATCATTTCAAGATCAGAGAATATTCGAGAAAGCAATTAACCATAGGATCTTTAAATTATAATTATTTTCGTTAAGAGCTAATATCGAAATTATCTGGTTAAGAAATTATGAAAATGCCCTTGAGAGGTAAAATAGTCTGAGTTGACCTTGAATGAGAAAGTACTTTGAGGATTTGTACTTAACTCGATTAAGTATGAATTTAATTGTTAAGATCCTGTCTTTGTACAGAAAAATTTATGATATTCCATTTGTAAAATCTGAGAATGCACTTGACCCGAAAATATCCGAGTTATGAGTAAATACCCGAAGAACTATTTATCGGAGAGTGCTCTTTTATCAGAATTGTTTGAAGGGACTGAAATAGATGATAAAATGGAATTAAATAATAAGACCGGATGGAAGGAAAAAATTTAAATACCGTAGATCTGTAAAATAACCAAAATATCCCTGTAATGGAAATGACTTAAGAATATCACCAAGCTTAGGAATGATTGAATATCCTCGAGCTCTGAAAAGAATGGAATGAAACTGAGCACCAGAATGACCAAAATACCCTTATGACCTAGACTAAGTAGATGTTGGATTAATTAAGGAATCCAAATAAACATGGGTGTGGTATTGATCTTAAAAGTTATGGATCACATATTAAGCCGAGCAACCAATGCTAGTGTTATATCAATACCTGAACGACATAGATGTCACTTGAATGCGTGTTTGTATTTTCAAGTTTGGCTCGATGATAGTTTTGGAAGTATTCAACTCAGCTCAACTCTAGAACACATTCAGTAGTAAGGATTTGATATTTGTTAGACAAATCGACCACGAAGACCAAATTGAATTGAACGAAAGTACATTATGTATCCGAAATTCAGAAACGTCTGGATTACCCTAAAAAACCCTGAAATAACGGGAATGAACATGACTGCTAAATGAATTAGGTAATCTCAATGACTGAGGATTTAGTAAGTGATTTGGATAAGTCTGGAAACTCTGATGAGTTTACATAGTGTAAAATTACGATGATTTATGATTAAAATAATCAAGTACGTCAGCATTATATGATATTGTGGAAGCGTGGAAATGAAATGAAGACATTGGAAGATTTATTCAGTGATGATTCCGAAAATGACCGATGGACAAGAATTTGTGGTATTAAAGAGTAAATACTCTGGAAGAACAATGAATTGATAAATCGACAAGCATTAGTTTTGGGAGCTATTCATCTAAGAGTTGTTTGATAATCCGATCAATAGACACATACTGTAAATGTCCTGAACCTTCATTTCTTCCTTACCAGCTTAAGTCATATTCTGAATAATTGATAATTTCGTCAGTTATTGAACTCTTCCAATAGTGATTCTGAATTCTGATATTCTATCGGTATACTGAAGATCTGTATTCCTCTACCTGTTAAAATTATCCAGTGCCTCTGAATAATACCTGTAAACTCTGGTGTGTTCCCTAATTACATGAATATTTTATCTGATTTCTGATTTGAATTATGTTATGATACCTGACCTAGATTCTGATATGATATTGACATGGATTCTGATATGATACATGACCTGGATTCTGATATGATACTTGACTTGAATTATGTTTTGATTTTTGATATATCCGTTTACGGACATAACATGTTTTATTGGGGGGTATCGTTGGAGGAAGATTACTTGGAGGCTCCTCGGCTTTGTTCTCAGTGCCTTACTTGCATGCTCCACGGCTTTGTGCTCAGGGCCTTACTTGCATGCTCCACGGCTTTGTGCTCAGGGCCTTACTTGCATGCTCCACGGCTTTGTGCTCAGGGCCTTACTGTTCGTGACAGGGTTGTATGGTTCTGGGGAACCTACACATTTTGTTCGTGATGAATTGGGGTATATATATATATATATATATATATATATATATATATATATATATATATGTTTTAAAAAGAGCTGAAAAGTTACATGGTTTTTGGGAACACACTAGATAACCTATTCTGATCTCCTGAACCTAAACATCCAAAATATTTCTCTGAACTAAAAGCTCATTGTCTGTTACCACTTGAAATATCAGTAGGATTTCCGCTCAATATAAAGGTCTGTAAATGTATGGATCATTAAGAAAATATATGTTTATATGTATCTGCACGTTCTTCAACATCATATGGTAGTTCTGTATTACTGAGCTTTCCGAAGCTCACTCTATTACTCAACATTGCAGGTTAAAAGAATTGTACCAGTACCACTATCAACATCAGTAAGGGAGTTCTTCCGGCGTTGCTTGCAGAGTATGATACATGTGATTAGGGGGCATGTAGATTGTATTTTGTTTTATATCTGAGTTTGAAAAACCTGTCTTATTTTTGAATAATAATAAATCATTTTATGATTTTACATGTTTTAAGAAAAGTTTTAAAATTTCCGATATTTTTACGGTGGGTCGCTCCGGTGGCCCTAATGTGACACTCCAGATCGGATCGGACTATCCGCATCGGTCTGAGGGGGTTACAATTTTTATCTTAAATATATTAGAATTGTGGTGTGTCTTAAATGATGACTAAAGTCGAAGAGGAATATAGTTGATCTACTTACCAAAATGTTAAGTCAGAAATTATTTTGATTCTTCTATGGGATGAGTCAAAAGCCCAGTGATTGAAAAATTCATGGTGGATGTCTAACTTAGCTAAGTTCAATGTGGTCAAACGAAGCCATTGAAAGACTCATAGTGTACATTTATATCTTAGTACCTATCATAATGTACATGTACATGATGAGCTTTATTGTTCTTAATAAATTCATAAACTAGACTTTGGATGGTCTTAGTAAAAAAGATTTGATAAATTTATCGATTTTGGTTGAATAACTACTCTTAATAAGTTTATAACCCAGTGTTAAGTGAGTAGTCCTATTATAAAGGACTAGATGAACTTACCACTATAGATGGTGAGTTTTCTTAAACTCTTAATAAATTCAACCCAAGAGTTTGGGTGATTCTATTGAGGTACTTATTGAATTCAACGATTAATGAGGTTAAACATTATTTTTAATGATTTCTTATGCTAGAGTTTGAGTGATTCATTTAATATGAACTTGAAGAAATTCACCTTATCTATTGTAAAGATAATTTTTTATGTTGAGATAACCTTGATGAAATAACATACGTCAGTGATAAGGATTAACCACCTTCTATGGAAAATATTGGGCAATTTTTCCAGTACACTTACTAAAATCCTAAGGAAAAAGGGTTATATATATACATTTGTATATATACTTTGTAGATACATCAAGGATTTGGGTGGATGAAGGGGTTAGTTGTCTGTTATGAGTTCACCCTAATTTTAAGAACTTCAAACTCTCATTTTATGAAAGAATTATTTCGTATTAATAGAAGAATGTGGTTTATGCTCAAATGAAACTCATTTCATAATGATATTTAATTCTATTTTTGCCCTTACTATTTAGTCTATACATAGTGGACAATATACTCTTGTGAGAGATATCCCATAAGTAAATGTCATTTGCTTTGAAACTCTCTTTAGTTTTATAAACCTAATTGGAGGGTTGTTTTGAGTTTTGAGAAAAGAATAATACCACCAGATTTAATTCCATCTTTCGGGTGTACAGAATTAAAGAGTTGTGTTAACTTAGGGGGCCATTCATCCATTATAGTAATTACACAAATCAGGGCGAATTCCTTTTTAAAATAGTGATTAATATTACGACATGATTATCATTCTATTTAATTATTTTGTTTAATATTTTTTAGTTAATACTAACACCTCACTTTGCAGGCGGTTTAACACATAAGCCAAGCAACTGCTTGATAATAAACCAACAATAAACTAACCACAAGATTCAGGGCTACTTGTTACTCAAAAAACACTATATATAGACAAAATGATTGGGAATAGTCAATGATCAAAATATATCACTCGCATAACCTTCAAGAATTTAGTAAATTAAAGCATAACACATTTTTCAGCACAAAAAGTCACATTATTCCACTATATCAGACTGAGTATCTAGACCTGTACTGAGAATGGTACTATTAATTGTCCAAAATTCGATTCATAGACAGACATCGAACAACATTTTTATATTACAAAGATTGATATTTTTGAGAAACCCTGCAAAAAAAAAAAAAAACTGCAAGCATATTATGAAAATTATGTACGAGGTAATTAAATCTTCCATTGAAGTATAAACTTAGACGTGGGTTGATAAATCATGCAGCAAACCTCAACTAGATATATAGTCATACTCATGCTGCTATTTCATTAGAATAAAGAAATTACTAAACTGCATTCGCAACTCGCAAGTAATAAAAGAAATGCATTTACTTTCTAATATTATTTGGAGACGGTTCAGGAATCAATGCCTCTTTTATGCCTCTGTTAATTGTTTTCTTTCTCGATCTCGTAAAGGAGCTCGCACAACAGCATACAATCTTTGACAAGAAATTATTGCAACGAAAATATAGAGGACCAAAGCAGTGATCCCTTTGAGATCCCAGTTTTTAAAATCCTACAAAATAATTAACCAACGATCAGCTTAAAAACAACGAAATTGTTGATAAAAAATAGAAAATCAGGTAGCTACTATGAAGTGGTGCACAATGAGCTATATCCTGAAACTCAACTTCCTTGAGCTGGCGATAGGGTAACAATTAAGCAGAAAGACATTCTGGCTTGCTAACCTTCCAACGCTCCCACTGGTTCCAGCTATCAAACTCGGGAAGCAACTTGGTCCTAAACCGATTGAATTCACCCTCGCCCTTCCTTATGTTGCGGAAGACGGCTATCGGATAGAGCAAAATCACAACTGATAATTTGAGAAAATAAAAATAAAGAAAAAAGAGACACAAAATTTACGTGGAAAACCCCTAAATAATATAAGGTAAAAACCACGGGCAACAGTAGAATAATTTCACTATGAGAAAATAGGAATTACAACTTCTCTCGATCTACCAAGGAGAAAACAATGATAATTCTCTCTTGATAAAAAGAAGAAAACAACTCTTAAGAAACTCTCTAAATTCTCTCTAGTATTGGAAGAAAGCTAGAATGCTTTGAGATGGTTTTGAAGCTAAATGAGCTAGGGTATTTATAGTAGAAACTTTAAGGACTAATCTTGAAAATACCCTAAATTACAATGACTAAATGTGAGATTTTTCCATGTCACTTTTCAACCATTATTAGTGCCAACTATGAACCATTATTGTTGCCAACTTACAATGCATTATGAACCATTATTATGCATTATACAACTATTATTAGTTGTATGACAACTAATAATTTTGCATGACAACTAATAATCTCTCACTTGAAGATTTGATTAGAATAATCATATCTTCACACCATTCTTTCTACCTTGTACCTTCATGTTGCTTACGTTTCTGACAGACCACAAGAGGATCGACACCAGGTAAATTTATCAGCGTTGATCGCCTTCGTCATGAAATATGCTATGTTGTCTTTGGTATGGATCTTCTGCATATCTACCGTCTCTTCTTCCACCTTTTCACGAATAAAATGGTATTGAACTCGTATGTGCTTTGTCCTTGAATGAAATGCTGGATTCCTTGCTAGATGCAAGGCGCTTTGACTGTCACAAAACATAGAGACATACTCTTGATTGTGCCCAAGCTCCTCCAATAACATCTTCAACCAAATTGCTTCTTTACTGGCTTGTGTAACTGTTACATATTCTGCTTCTGTTGTGGATGTAGCCACAACTGACTGCAATTTTGAAACCCAGCTTACAGCTCCACCAGCAACTTTAAACACATATCCTGTAGTAGATTTGCTTTTATCCAAATCCACTGCATAGTCAGAATCAACATACCAATTGATAAGTAAATTTAATCCTCCGTAACATAATGCAATATTTGAGGTCCCTTTGATGTATCTCATGATCCTCTTTACTGTATTCCAATGCTCTTTGCCTGTATTCGCCATGTACCGACTAACCACTCTCACTGCTTGTGCAATGTCTAGTCTTGTGCATATCATAGCGAACATTAAACTTCCCACTGCCGATGCATACGGTACTCGAGACATCTCCATCATCTCTTCTTCACTGCTAGGACTCATACTGAAGGATAATATAAAGTTAATAGGAAGAGGGGTAGAAATTGGCTTACAATATTGCATGCTGAATCGTGACAAGATCTTCTTTAAGTAATTCTTTTGTGAAAGCCAAATCTTTCTATTACTTCTGTCTTGGCGAATTTGCATCCCTAGAATCTTGTTTGCTGATCCCAAGTCCTTCATTTCAAATTCCCTAGCCAGTTGTGCCTTCAATTCTTTAATATGATCTTTGTTGGGTCCTACAACCAACATGTCATCCATATACAACAGTAATATAACAAAATCATTATCACCAGACCTCTTGAAATAAGCACATGAGTCTGCATTAAATCTGTTGTATCCAAGGCACATAATGAAGGAATCAAATCTCTTATGCCAACACCTCGACGCCTGCTTTAGACCGTACAGAGATTTGTTCAACCTGCAAACCAAGTTCTTGTTTTCTTTTCCTTCAAAACCTTCAGGCTGGAGCATGTAAATCTCTTCTTCAAGATTTCCATGAAGAAAAGCTGTTTTAACATCTAGCTGCTCTAGATGTAAGTTCAATGTAGCACACATTGCCAAAACTACTCGAACTGTTGTTAGTCGGACCACAAGAGAAAATATTTCATTAAAATCAATACCTTCTTTTTGAGCATATCCTTTGACCACCAGTCTTGCACGATACCTCTCAACTTGATCATCACTATTTCGCTTGATTTTGAAGACCCATTTGTTACCAATTGGATTCCTTCCTTGTGGTAGTGACACAAGGTCCCATGTATTATTTTTATGAAGGACTTCAATTTCTTCTTGCATCGCCATCATCCACAGTGAAGCATCTGAGTTGTTTATTGTCTCCTGGTATGTTGATGGCTCACTGTCCTCTGTTAAAAGGCAGTATGCAATATTACCTTCTATAACATAATCTGAGTGCCAATTGGGACGTCTTCTCACACGATCTGATTGGCGAGTTGTTGGAACTTCAGAACTCTCTAGTTCTTGTTCATCATGTGTTGGTTCTGCTTCAGAAGAATCTCCTTGTTCAAACTCCTTTTCCACAAGTATCTGTGTAGTCTCTGACTTTTCAGCACTATCATCGTCTTCTTTTCTTTGTAGCTTATCTTCTACAAAGATAACATCTCTGCTAATGATCACTTTGCGGGCAGTGGTATCCTACAAGCGATACCCCTTTACTCCATCAACATCTTATAGTCTCTGACTTTTCAGCACTATCATCGTCTTATTTTCTTTGTATCTTTTCTTCTACAAAGATAACATCCCTGCTAATGATCACTTTGCGGGCAGTGGGATCCCACAAGTGATACCCCTTTACTCCATCAGCATACCCCAAGAATTTGCATTTCCTGGATTTTGGATCCAGCTTTGAAATTTCTTGGGAGTTGTACATCACGTACACAATACTCCAAATATATGGAGGTTTGAATAATCAGCTGGTTTACCAGTCCACATCTCGATTGGTGTCTTGATCTCTATTGCAGTTGATGGAGCTCGATTCACCAAATAACAGGCGGTATTGACTGCTTCTACCCAGAATGAATTTTCTAGGTCTGCATCCCTCAACATTGATCTTATTCTTTCTAACAAGGTTCTGTTCATCCGCTCTGACACTCCATTTTGTTGAGGAGTGTTCGCCACTGTGAACTGTCTTTTGATGCCTTCTTTCCTTCAAAAGTCATCAAATTCTTCGCTTGTGTATTTTCCTCCATTATCTGTTCTGAAACACTTGATCTTATTTCTAGAATCAAGTTCCACCCGCGCTTTGACGTTTTTGAAAGTTGAAAACACATCTGACTTCTTCTTAATAGGGTACACCCAACATCTCCTAGAGTAGTCATCAATAATAAGTGAGACAAAGTATTTTGCTTCGCCTAGGGATGTAACCGGTGCTTGCCATACGTCAGAGAACCAATTCTAGAATTTACCTCTAGAATTTGACGTGTTGAATTTCAACCGGTGTTGCTTACTTGTTATGCAATGCTCACACAAGGTAAGTGATACCTTTGTTAAGCCTGGAAGTAGCTTTTTCTCCACAAGGACTTTCATTCCTTGTTCTGACATGTGTCCAAGTTTCTGATGCCATAACATTACCGAATCTGAACTACATGAGGCAACAGAAGCTTCTGCTTCTACCAAAGTCTCTCCCTTCAGCATGTACAAGTTTGCAGCTATCTTTTTACCTTTCAGCACCACAAGTGTTCCACGGAACACCTTCATGATTCATTTCCGTGTTTCAATCTTGCTTGCATTATTATCCAACAATCCGTAGGATAATAAATTTTTCTTCAGGCCTTTCATGTGCCACATATCTCGAACAACTTTAATTGTTCCATCATACATCTTCAATTTGATGGTTCCCACGCCAATGATCTCTAAGGCATGTTCATTGCAACTATACACAGATCCTCCTGAGACAGGTTCATAATGATGGAACAATTCTCTTCTTGAGGTCATGTGATATGTCGCTCCCGAATCAATGAGCCATATATCTGCAAATCTTTTTCTGCCTTCCATGGTGGTTGACGCTTCACAGCATAGAGCATCTCCATCATCTGAAGTGTTTGCGGTATTGCCTTGTGGATTGGAGTTTTTATTTAGACTCTAACAATCCTTCTTTAAGTGATCATTCTTTCCACAGTTGTAGCACTTTAAATTCTTCTTGCTCCTTGACTTCAATCTACCATGTTTGTGACTGCTGCTTTGGCCACGTTCTGTTGATCTCCCTCTCATCGTTGTCATCGTTTTCAATGCTTCTGTTTGTTGCAGATTTACTTGTCTGTCTTCCTTGTTCTTGAGTCGATTTTCTTCTTGTAGAACAGTTGCTGCAACGTCATCGAAGACTAGACTAGTGACATTACTGTTTGTCAAGTTGATGATGAGTTGATCATACGAATCCGGTAGACTTTGAAGTAGAAGTTCAGCACGTTCTTGTTCTCCTATTTTACAGCTTAAGGATGTAAGCTGAGAAAATAAAGTGTTCAGTGTATTTATGTGCTCCATCACTGAAGTAGATTTTGGCATACGGAGAGTGTACAATTTTCTCTTAAGGAAAATTTTATTATACAACGATGTGGCCTCGTACAATTTGGTGAGATGATCCCATATCTCCTTATCTGTCTTCTTCTCCTCGATGCTTGACAATACTTCATCTGCTAGTGCTAGATGAAAGTTTTCCATAGCATTCTCATCCATTTCGATCTATTTGTTGTCATCTGTGAAATCCACTGGCCTTTCACTGATAGCTGCTAGACAACCGTCTTTTCTCAGGATAGCCTTCATCTTCAATTTCCACAATGAGAAATTTCTCTCATTGAATTTTTCAATATCAAATTTCGTTGTCATAGCTTTTTTTACGGATAGCTCCCACTATTTCACTATAGTGAATAGTTCTTTGGAACCTTCAAAGAATGAGTAATAACTTCTTATTTTCTTATGTTGGAAAGATCCACCTTTTGGTGGCAACCACAAATACAATAAACATATATTACACACTCTAATCTAGCTCGGATACCAATTGTTGCAGAAGACGGCTATCAGATATAGCAAAATCACAACTGATAATTTGAGAAAATAAAAATGAAGATAAAAGAGACACATAATTTACGTGGAAAACCCCTAAATAATATAGGGTAAAAACCACGGGCAACGGTAGAAGAATTTCACTATGAGAAAATAGGAATTACAACTTTTCTCGATCTACCAAGGAGAAAACAATGATAATTCTCTCTTGATAAAAAGGAGAAAATAACTCTCAAGAAATTCTCTAAATTCTCTCTAGTATTGGAAGAAAACTAGAATGCTTTGGTATGGTTTTAAAGCTAAATGAGATAGGATATTTATAGTAGAAGCTTTAAGAACTAATCTTGAAAATACCCTAAATTACAATGACTAAATGTGAGATTTTGCCATGTCACTTTTCAACCATTATTAGTGCCAACTATGAACCATTATTGTTGTCAACTTACAATACATTATGAACTATTATTATATATTATATAATTATTATTAGTTGTATGACAACTAATAATTTTGCACGACAACTAATACCTTAAACCTTGGTTAACTCGTCCCACCAACAAACCAATCCTCACATTCTCCTCATCCAAATCAAACCCAGTTTCCATCTTAACCGACTCCCCAAATTTGGACCAGACCTTCTCGGAGCCGATGCGGAGCCAAGAGAAGCCATTGGAGCCAGAACCACTGGGATTGGCAGACGAAGAAGAAACTCTGATTTTGAGCCTGCTAGCTGAGAGAAAGTGGGGGTTTGAGTGGTTGGCAGGGGAGGAAATAGACGAGGGGTTTGGGTGCAAGGGATTGGAACCTCCATATTTGTTGGTAGCATCACATGAGTGAGGCTTGCCGCTTGTGAGTGAGATACCTGGGTTTTTGAGGGGTTTAGCTAAACGTGATGAGAGAGCAAATGCCACTCTAATTTTTTATGCTCATTTTGGATGGACCATTCCATTCTCTGCGAAAAATATTTATGTGTATATTGAGAACATTGAAAAAAAATTCAATAATTCTCGTAACTAACGTAAACGTTAAGAAAGTTTGAAAAGTTGTATATTTATAAATTCTTTTCATAATTACGGTAATTATTAAAAATTTAATTTTTTCAATGATTATATTAATTTTACTCGTAGTTATAAATCATGTTTTTCTCGTAAATTTTTTTAATTAATCATCGATATTTGATTTATTAATCAATTAATTTAAATCAAATATTACAGAGACTAGGACGGTTATCCCAACCCAACTTGTCCCATACACAAAAATCAAAATTTGAATCTCTAACCTTTTTAGTCTGTAATTTTTCAATATATGGTTAGTTTTTTAGTTTTCATAATTAACCTAAACCTTCCCGTCTTTTTTAGTTTTCTGGCGAGAAGGGAGAAAAAACTGATCAAATAAGTAGAAGTGCGGCCGTTGCAAATATTCCAGTCTCAGCTCCATTAGGCACTAGCTTTACGCTATCAGACTATTCATACTGCCGTTATTATGGCGTTGCCTTTCTCTATTAATCTTTTTCTTCGTTTTTTCTGATCTTTTGCCTTGGCTTTTGTTTCTTCCAATTTATTCCTCGCTCTGTTTCTTATCGGATGCCGTACGCCTTCTATGTTTTTCCAGATCATCGAGTAAGTTCTCGACAGCCCGACGTATGCTCAGATTTCGATCAACAACGCGCTTATGTATGAATACAGGTTTCCTCGATCTACACTTCTAGTCTTTGTTTACTGCAGCGGCTTGGGTGGATTCTTCATTTAATAATTTAATCTTGCGGAAATTATATGCAGATTTCATCTTTTATTCGGTAAAAAACCATGTAACTGTAGGTTCTTTGAAAAAAGAACAAAAGGGAATTTCTGTAAACTAAACGAGAATAATCTGGAATTTTTTTACTTTTTTTATTTCTGTTGAGAAAAATAATCACCACTTCGTGTTCAATTTTTTTTTAAAAAAAGTTGTTACAACGTATATATCGGGTTAAACATTTAGAGAATATACTATTCATTTTCCTTTTTTGTAAAGGAAAAACAAATTATAAATCCAAGTCTTGGTTGTTGATCCTCTTTAAGATAAGAATAGCGCGCGATCGTGAACAATCACGCCCGGCTATGAATCTGAAAACGTTGGGTAATCGCGCGATTGGCTCGGTGGCGCTTGTGGAATGGGTCACGTTAGCCGACTGACAATTTAATAAAAACGCCGCCCACTTTGCTTTAGCTCCACGCAATCCTGTCTATATATAAAGGTGGTGCTCTCGTTTTATACCTTTGGCAGCAGTCCGTTGCAAGAAGCCCAAACCTATATGATGTGTCCTTTTCTATTGTCTCGTTTTCGGTATTCAAAGGACCCTTCAAAACGACATTTTAGTTTGCGTAGAAGGTCCAAGGTACGTAGCTAAAACTATCTATTCACGAATTTGTTTCCTCCTTTTGTATGCCCATTATTATTTTTTCAAATGGTAATCGGTATGTAAATTTAGCGGTTTTCATGATCTTCTAATTAGGATCTCTATAGTCGCCTTGCTTTTTATCTTTACATCTTTGTTTCATATTCACTTGTTATATAATATATATATATATATATATTATGAATATTGACAGATCCAAAAATATATTTTAGAATAGGTACATATGTATTAATAACAAATATATTTTGTATGTGATGAGCACAAATAAAATTTCAAGCTAGGGATAAATGTTATTTAAGGTGTGCCATCGAATTTTTTTATGTTAGTTGTTCACGTCTACACTGAAATTTTATTTGTACATACCATACGGAATTTTTTTTGTTATTAATATCTGTGTCTAATTTTTTTTAGATTTGCTGCCACCCTATTTTTACCCTTTTATTTACCAGCAAAAGAAAAATGATTAAATTATTTCTCTAGTCTTTAAGTTCCTTAGACGTTACAGTTTTAACTCCAATGTTCATCCCGTGTTTAATTTAGGTCTTATCTCTACCAATACATAAATGAATCAAGCATACCTATGTTTGTGTTCATTAGCTTATTGAATGAAATTAAAAATTTTGTTCATTATTTATCTGGATAAAGGAATATAAACGAACATATCATCAACCATTTCACAAACAGTTGATCGAATTACACCCCTAGTTTTTTATTTAGAAAGTGTTGTATTAGTTTGTATTGATGTGGGTTTGTTTAATCATGTGGGAAACTAGATAAAGATTAATTCAGCAAAATATACGAGGAAGAGACTTGGAAGGTTGAAAGTGGAGGAAAAGATCAACAAAGAGCAGCAAAGCATCAAGGAAGGGCAAAGTCAAGTTCGAGCAAAATTTAATTCCATCGAGGAAGAATACAAACAGCTTCGCAATGAAACTAACCAAATTATCCAACAAACCGCCAACACTCAATCCGACTCGGCCTGATGTTCAGTATCCTCAAGGCAAGAGAACAAGGTGATCTCGGCAAGGCTGCTCAATTCACTCGACTCCTCCGGTAAGCCCTGTTGCTTCCTCTTTATTCTCAATGGATAACTTTTGTATCAATTTTTGCTCATATTCTTTTTTTTCCAGTGAAATTGTGGGCAGAAATAATTACTGCAAAAGTGAACCATAGCTGCCTTAGTATTTCAAAAGTAAACATCAACAATTCATTCCGTACTGATATGCAGGGCCAATCTATCGTGTAGATCAATTTCCTTTGTTTTGATTAGATTTTAAGTCTACTAATTAACGAACTAAATGTGTGGTGGGGTTAATCTTATTTAAATTTCGTGATTGTATTATATATTTTTCATCTTTGTATTTTGTGTTTGTTAATCGAGACGTATCGACTTGAATGCTACTGTTTACTTTTGCCGTTTGATAATCTCTTCCACCTCTCCCTTCAATCTTTTGACTTTCACTTTCAGATCATGTTTACTCGCTTTTTTCTTCATCAAACAGTAACTTTTCAATCACTGGTAATGCGATAACAAACAAAATTCCTTAATAATAATTGTTATGTCCACAATCATAATAAATACTATACAATTAAAAATACGATCACTATCACAGTTTTAATCCTTAATTAGTATCCTCTAGCATGATGTGTTTTCCTTGGCAAATATGATTAAGAAAAAACTATATAGGCCTATTCGATGAGAGTCTCATTGAAAGCCTTCCCAAATCTAGACGAAGGAAAAGAGTGTAACTCAACCGGGAAAAGAAAAGATCAAACAGCTAACAAAGTAATAAAAACCGAAAAAAAGCATCCAGCAACCGAGCAAGACATAAAGAAGCAAGAGACACCAGCCAAGAGAATAGAGACACTATTTGGTTCACCCCAACGCCATGAACAGCTCTTCTCTGATCGATCCGCCTTTTGCTAAGTTTATCGTCATTTCATTTTTGGAACAAGGAGCGTGATTGAAACGAACATATTTAATCCTAGAAATCGCTTGGTCTATTTCCACGAATAAACCCCACCTTTTCCATGGTCGATGCTTTGGTCTGTTTCTTAAGTTTATAGCATATTATATTTTTTGTTTTCATTTATTTTTTATGTACTTTATAATATATGAATTAAACATGCTCGCTAAAATATTGAATATTAATTAATTATTTTTCAAAAATAATATAAACTGACCTAAATGAATTTAGATTAACTATATATATGAACTGATTTGCATAATTAAAGGTTATATTATAGGAAAATTCTAATCATATCAGTGTGAGAAAATTGATGTTAAAATTCGAACGATGACCAATCTTTGATTCATTCATACAATACCAAAAATAAATCCCTAAAAGAATGCTCCATCTCAGTTGAAAAATCACGCGATCCTTTAACCTCGCAACCGTCTAGCTTCATTATAAAAACGATGCTTCTTCCTCCTTTTCTCCATACTTTTTCTTCATCAGTGATAGAGTTGGGATTGGATATTGAGGGGAACCAAAAAGCTTAGGGACATAAGAAGTTTGGGAGGCCAAGGCTCTTCCAATCTTCTATTTCACTCTGTCCCTCTGCATTTTTGTTTCCTCTAAATTTCAGGCTCAATTTTGGCATAAAATCTGTTTATATCTCAATTGTAGTTTGTTTCAAATTCGAGTCGATAACAATGGTGTGTCGGGGCATGGTCAAGGAGAAGAATAAGGCCTTGAAGCCAAAAGTAAAGAGTTTCAAAGTGAAGGTCACACGAGTAAAAAGAGCTGATATAGGAAAGAGTCAAAGAAGCGTAAAAGAGGAGCAAAGGATTAAAGGAGAATGGCTGGAAGATGTTAAATGCCAATGCAAGGAACTCATCTTGGAAACTCAATTGATTGTGGAGCAATCGGCTTCCAAAAGGATTCAGCTTGATATAACGTTCAATATCTTAGGAGCTAGCCAAGATGGTGAAGATGATAGATTTTGCCCTCAATAGCTTCCTTAGTTCCATTTATGATGAAAGAAAGCTTTAGTTTTTTCCCCTTTTAAATGGCAATGTTAATGTCAATGTCGGCCCTCAATGGTTCAAAATGATGTAACATTGTAATTTTTTCTTCGCCTATATATATTTTTCAATGTTTTTTTTTTTACATTTGCATCAACCAAAAGTATTTTTTATAATTTGAATCAATTAAGTAGCTTAAATGGTAAAAGAGAATTTTATTTTCTCTAGATGTCATGGATTTGAGCAGTTGTCTATAGTGTGAGCACATTATCAATTGATTACGAAAGTTTTTAAATAATACTATTTTTTATGAATAAAAGAGAGTTTATGTATAAACAGTTGGCATGCCCTTTTTGGAGGATTAGGTCAATCACAGGAGGTGAATCCTGGAGGAGATGCACCTCAAAATCAGTAGATTCAGCTAATTTGATCAATTTGTCAACCAACCGATTGCTTTAATGATGTGTATTGGATATCCTTTCTTTCTTATATCGTATTTATATTTTCTTTTGTTTTTTTTTCAATAAATATGCATGTATAATATGTTTTCATTTGTCTTTGTGGCACGTTTTCTTTTATCTTTTATTATATTTTCAGTCGTTTAGCTTTTTTTTTCATTTATCTTTTTTTAAGGATTGATTTGCTATCGTCACGACTGATCAAGATGATGTTTATCTAATATCTTGTTGATCTTCCTTACTTTGGACCCTCGGGTGGATTTGGATATCTGTTTTGAGTTCGTAGATAGTTTTTCACGTTGCTCGAGTTTGATTTGTGATTTTGTCAATTGTCTTCAATAGTTTGATACCATTTTGTGGTTCGTTCGTCGATGTACTCAGTCTATTTGTATCTATCTTTGTTCGAGTCTCTTCGTTAAATTTTTAATCTTTGGTCCTTATGGCCTTAAGTTGCTAATGTTATTTGAATGATTATAGGAAATTATTTTAATTTACGATTTTGATTGTAAATCCTTATTGTAATGTGAGATATTTCTTATTTTAAATAAAATTAGTTGTTTCCGTTTAAAAGAATTGGTCATTATTTTTTTAATTAAATTCAACTTTTAATATTTCTAAGAAAAGTCAAGTTTTTTTTTAAAAAATAAATTTTAATAGTTTTGATGTGACAATTTACGTTACTATGTCAAATAAAAAATAATATAAAAAATAAAAATATTAAAAGTTTGAAAATATATTTTCTTAATAATATATGAATTTCATATAATAACCGCTATAGCATCAACTAGTACATCCGAAATACAATCTGGTAATTCATAACTATAAAATAAAGACATTTGAATAGTTAAAGCAAATTGAGGTAAGGTATGAGACTTGAGAGGATAAGTTTGTAGAGCGACGAATCTCATGTACCCGAAAACCAGCACGAGTATGAAGTAAAGCTTCAACAAGATGAAAACCAACCGTTAACATATCAAATTAATAGCAGGTCAGTTGACGACTTACGTTTTCCGCGTCACTTTCAATATAAATCTGAGAAGAAGAGAGCTCAACCGCAAGTAGGGATATTCATGAGTCTGGTCGGGTTAGCTTTTCGGTCTATCTGACCCGATTCGAAAATTATACATCATCTATTCGATTTGAATTCGATCCACCTTTTGAGATAAAATTTAGACCCAATCCGACTTAAAATAATATATTTATTAAAAATATTTTTTATTCAATAAAATAATAATTTAATTAAAAAAATAATATATGGGGTATTATTATAACTATCACTAAACATACAAAGTAAAATTACATTTTTTGGTCGGCTCGGATTTTTTTTAACCTAAATCCGTATCTAACTTGAACATTACCTCTAAGAAAACTCAACCCGATTTAATCTAGATTCAATATTTTTTTAAAAAAATCTGACTCAATCTATTCAGATTAAATAAAAACCGTTAGATTCGAATCTCATGCCGTCCCTAACTGCAAGACGTAGATCATATGTAATGGTAGTGGCTTGACATGCGATTACCAGCCCGTGATAATCACGAGCACTGTAGAACGACCGTTAGTCTAGGCACATGTTGCATCAACATTGATCTTAAGAATGGTCACCGGAGACCAGCACCATTGATCAGAAGACACATAAATTGTCATGTTAATTGTGTAAAAAATAATGTTTCAATCAATATTTCTATTACAAAATAAAAATTAAGTTCTTTTAAAAAATTTCATAATCAAATTTGATTTTTTTTTTAAAAATAGTAATCAAATTTAATCAAAAATATTATTATTGGATCCCGATCAAAGTAATTGATTAGAATGGTTGAATGAAAATGGTTAATTCACTGATTATTTTGGATGGATAAAACCAAAAGTTTGAATACTTAGTATGAATGTATGATAAGAAAAGTAAAATTAACAAAAGATACAAATTTTAAAAATTATGTTTAACATGATAATTTTAAAATATTTAAATAAAGCATTTTAATTTTTTTATTTTGAGTAAATTACACGTTTTATACTCCAATTATTACTTTGTTTCAGTTTGGTCACTCAATTATTCTTTTAAATTATATCTAAATTCAGTTATGTCTTCATTTTTATCACTCACCGTTACAAAATTAACAATGATATTGATGTGTGGCTATAAAATAATATCACTTCATCATTGGAAAAATAAAAAATATCATGTTATTAATTTTGTTAATTTTTTAATAGTGAGTGATCAAAATAAAACCAAAAAATAATATTAAGTATAATTAAAAAAAAGTAGTTGGATTGACTCCCAAAACAAAAATGATAGTAGGAATGTAGTTTACCCTTTTATTTTCAACCAATTATTAGTCTCTGATTCAGTCATAAAAACCAAACGTAATCGTTCGATCCAACTTAAAAAGCATGCGATTCCGCCCGACTGCGCTAACTCCAAAGCTCTTCATTTCTTCCTCCTTTCTCCCCGGCTTCGCTTCATTTTCGCTGCTTGGTTCCTCCAAATTCAACACGCGGCTTTCATAAATGTAACTCTTTATATAAACCCAGTGCTCATGGCATTTCACTCATTTCAATCCAAGTTTAAATCTCAGTCTGTTTCCGCTTTGAATCTTCAAACTCAAGTCCATAACAATGGTGGCTCGGAGCATGATCAAGGAGGAGAAGAAATCTTCAAAGCCCAAAATGAAGGGTTTGAAAACGAGAGTCCAACGAATAAAAGCAGATATGGGAAAGATAAGGGAAGATCAAAGATGTATAAAAGAGGAGCAAAGGGATATAGGACAAAAGTTTGGAGATGTTAGACGCCAATGCCATGAACTCAGATTGGAAACTGAAATGATTGTGAAGCAATCCGCTTTTAATCGTATTCGGCTCAATATTATGTTCAATATCTTGCGAGCTCGTCAAGACGGTGATTTCGATAAAGCTGCCGCCTTGAGTGGCTTCCTTACTTCAATTTCTGACGGAAGAAAGTTATAGTTTCTT